AGTCTACTGCATCAGTTATTTCCATCTCCAATTTCATTCTTTCAAGCTTAATCTATAATTTGAATTGGAAGTTGACCAGCAAGAGCTTGTGTCTTAACAGTTCCTTTTTTATCTTTGTGTAGTTGGAGGTTTGGGCCAAGGAAAGAGAAGTTGCTGGATTGAGGGCTAGCTTGAATACATTGATGCCTGAGGTTTGGGCCAAGGAAGGAAGCTGAAGATTCTTTGAGAAAGAAGTGGAAAAAGATTGAAGAATTTGATGGCTGCAGATCTGAACTTGAGTCCATATATAATGCTCTACTTAAGGATTTCTTCTGAACTTGAGTCCATATATAATGCATTGTACAATCATGGTCTTGACTAACTAATGATATCACTGTTGTAGTGGATTTGACTTGTTTTTTTGATGTTTGCCTACTAGATGTTTGTATTGATAGTTTAATTGAAGAAGTGCCAAGAGGCACATGATCACTAGCTTTATACATTGCTTAAGCACAAATTTCACTGGTTGGATTTTAGCCCAACTTTTTGAACTGGTTGGTCACTGCAATGACCAGAAAAAAGGTAAAGAAATGGAAAATTTGGGTTCCTAGTTGCTTATAAATCTAGCAATTTGGTTGCATAGAGCAAACATAAAACATGAGATCCCAAATTGTGAAGCTAGTTTAGCAACAGCATCATAGAGAAATATCAGGGGCCCCACAAAAAAAAAAGGTGGCGTTTTTTGGAAAAACACCACTAAAATGACGTCATTGTACACATTAATTTCCACCACCAGCAGCAACAGCAGCAGCAGCAGGAGGGCAAATAATATTATAAAAAAAAAGGTGACGTTGTTTCAAAAAAAACGCCACTAAATGACGTCATTGTGACATCACACGTTAATTTGGGACGGAAGGTAAGACGGATGTTAAAGATTTTACAGCGTTTTAAAAAATGCCATCTAATATTTTTAGTGACGTTTTTTAAACGTTGGAAAGCTATTGTGGCGGCCATATCCGCGACGAAAAAATTAAACGTCGCTATAAGATATTACGGCATTTTTCAAGCTTTTCGCAGCGTTTTAAAACGCTGCTAAAAAATGAATTTCTTGTAGTGATTATAATTTCTCTACAACTTGTCTATATTCAATGCAACCTGTAATACGTATATAAACAAAATGGTACATACTATCAATCATTCCATAATCTGCATCCATATACCAAAAATAAATAACTTTAAATGTCAAAGTCCATACAAATCAACTATTGTCCAAACTAAAATAATAATTCCATACAAAATATATCATACGAAAATTAAAGCCCTCCGTATACAAAAAATACATTTATTACCAAGCGAAATTACCATTTGACATGGTACAAATTACCATCGTAATCTATACAACGACAAAAGGTGATATATGTACCATGACAAAAGTTTTCTATAGACCATGACAAAATGTCCTATATGTACGCCGACAAATGGTATATATGTACCACGACAGAAGGTGATCTATGTATCACGACAGTCATTATCTGTTGATTGCCAAAAGTTTTCTGTATCAGTAATAAGGAACTACACAAAAACTGAGGACGACAAAAGTATTATATTAGTTCTACACAAAAGTAAAAATTCTTCTCCATACACCAATATGGATTATCCACAAGTCTATGCAACAAAGCCATTTACAAAGAGAAAAAAGAACGAAACATTAGAATTGATTACAAAATATCAATTCAGTCAGCCATATGGAACATGTTCTAACATGCATTTAAGGTAGAACAATTGAGAAATATCTTCTTGGAAATAAAAGAAAGTATATATATATATATATATATGTATCATGCAATATTTATTCTAACTAACTGCACAAACAATGTAATATGTAATTTCTTCGTCCTATAAATATATAAAGGCAATTATTAGAATATGTAGATGTTATTTTCATAAAGTTATCGCTTTTTAAACTAAGTGTTGCGAGTTTTTCGACTAAGTGTAAGACATATTCGGGGGCTGTTATGAATTTTCGCCCCCGGAAAGCTCTTTTTCGAGTAAGTTTAGGGCATATTTGGCTCTAACTCCCAACCTACGAGTTTGAATTGCGTTCCGTCAGTTCTCACAAGTCCTATTTGTCATGGCGAAGCTATCTGTGTGAGCCACACAATCGTTCGGGGGCTGTTTTGAATTTTTGCCCCCGAAATGCCTTTTTTCAACTAAGTTTAGGGCGTATTCGGCTCTAACTCTCAACCTACGGGTTTGGATTACATTCTGTCAGTTGTCACGCGTCCTATTTGTCATGAGGGAACGGTCCGTGTGAGTCAGACGGTGGTTCGGGGGCTGTTTAGAATTTGCGCCCTCGAAACGCTCTTTTTCGACTAAGTTTAGGGCGTATTCGGCCCTAACTCCCAACCTACGGGTCTGGATTACATTCCGTCAGTTCTTACACGTCCTATTTGTCATGGGGGAGCTGTCCATGTGAGTCACACGGTGGTTGGGGGGCTGTTTAGAATTTTTGCCTCCGAAATGCCCTTTTTCGACTATGTTTAGGACGTATTTGGCTCTAACTTCTAACCTACGGGTTTGAATTACGTTACTTCAGTTCTCACAAGTCCTATTTGTCATGGCGAAGCTATCGGTGTGAGCCACACGGTCATTCGAGGCTGTTTTGAATTTTCGCTCCCGAAACTCCCTTTTCCGACTACGTTTAGGGCGTATTCGGCTTTAACTCCCAACCTAGGGGTCCAAATTATGTTTCATTAGTTCTCACAAGTCCTATTTGTCATGGTGAAGCTATCTGTGTGAGCCACGCAGTTGTTCGGGGGTTGTTATGAATTTTGGCCCTTAGAAAGCTTTTTTTCGAGTAAGTTTAAGGCGTATTCCGCTCTAACTCTCTACTTATGGGTTCGAATTACGTTCCGTCAGTTGTCACAAGTCTTATTTGTCATGGAGAAGATTTCCGTGAGAGTCACACGGTTGTTCGAGGGCTGTTTAGAATTTTTGCCCTCGAAACGCCTTTTTTTGACTAAGTTTAGGACGTATTCGGCTTTAACTCTCTACCTATGGGTCCAAATTACGTTTTGTCAGTTGTCACAAGTCCTATTTCTCATGGGGAACCTGTCTGTGACAGTCACACAATCGTTCGGGTGTTGTTTAGAATTTTCACCCTCGAAACGCCATTTTTTGACTAAATTTAAGACGTACTCGGCTTTAACTCTCTACCTATGGGTCCAAATTACGTTCCGTCAGTTGTCACAAGTCCTATTTGTCATGGGAAAGCTGTCCGTGCTAGTCACATCGTTGTTCGGGGGCTGTTTAGAATTTTTGCCCCCGAAACACCATTTTTCTACTAAGTTCAGGGCGTATTTGGTTCTAACTCTCTACCTATGGGTCCGAATTACGTTCCGTCAGTTGTCACAAGTCTTATTTATCATGGGGAAGCTGTCTGTGAGAGTCACATGGTGGTTCGGGGGCTGTTTAGATTTTTTGCCCCCTTAATGCCCTTTTTCGGTTAAGTTTAAAGCGTTTTCGGCTCTAACTCCCAACCTACAGGTGCTAATTACATTTTATCTACTGTCACAGGTCTTATTTGTCATAAGGAAACTGGTTGTGACATCCGTACGGTAGTTTAGGGGCTGTTTTGCATTTTTGCCTCCTTAACGCTTTTTTTTTTTTTTTTTCGGGTTAAGTTAAAGGCATTTTCGGCTCTAACTCCCAACCTACGCGTGCTAATTACATTCCATCTGATGTAACTAGTCTTATTTGTCATGAGGAAGCTGGCCGTGACATGCATTTAGTGGTCAGGGGCTGTTTTGCATTTTAGCTCCCTCCCCGAACGCCCTTTTTCGACTAAGTTTATTGTGTTTTCGGCTCTAACTCCCAACCTATGCATGCTAATTAAATTTCGTCTGTTGCAACAGGTCCTATTTGTCACTAGGAAGCTGGTCGTGACATGCATTTAGTGGTCAGGGGCTGTTTTGTATTCCCCCCCCGGAATGCCCTTTTTCGACTAAATATAAGGCGTTTTCGGCTCTAACTCCCAACCTATGTGTGCTAATTATATTTTGTCGATTGCAACAGGTCCTATTTGGTACGGGGGTTCTGCCTATGATGTCCGTGCAGTGTTCAGGGGTTGTTTTGCATTTTCACTACGTATGTTAATTATGAAACTTAGTTGGATTATTTTTTTATGTTTTCAATGAACTGAAATGAATGTATGTAGTTCTTAGTCTCACAACAGGTTGGAAGGAAATTGAATTGCATTAGTAATATCTATAGGCTTCACATTTTCATACAACTTATTCTGTATGCACACAACAGAAGCATTGCTTGATGAAATGTCCTATTGGCAGTATAAGTATCATGGGCAACGTAAGTATATTAACATGAAATTGACAATTAAGACCTTAGCATTGCATAAGCAAGTATTCTATTGGCTTGAATGCAACCTTCTAACAAATTTGAATAGGAACTTGTCAAAATAATGCAGAGATGTTCCTATACAAAATTTGGAAAGCAGAGATGACCTTTTGAAGCTAAATATGAGGCATTAAACCCCCAATTTGTTTAGATGTGGTATTAAACCACTCTAGAATAGTGGTTCGTGCCCAGATCATTAAACCACTTCCAAGATGTATATCTATATATATATGAACATTGCCTACCATCTTTTTGGTTGCAGTGAACAGCTCACTGCTGGAAAATCAAGAATGATTTAATTTCAATTATTAGGATGATCAGGAATGATGGTTGGAAAATCAGGATGATCTTAACTTGGCAATTTTGGTCTGGCATATTAAAGAGGACACAATTAAACTTTCATCAAAACAAGCAAAGCATTTCAAGAAAACAACATAATAGTGTGGGAATGCCTATATATATACATATATGTATATAAGTATATATATCATTTATAAAAGAGTACCTGGATCTTCAAGAACTCTTATTTACTCATGTTTTGAACTGAAATAGAACAACCAAAAGGGTACAATAATGGAAAGAGAAAAGGAGTTGGTTGCTGATAGATCTGAGAGAAACAAAATCAACTAAAATAAATTGATATAAGAGAGATGAAATTACAAATTAAAAAAAAAAAAACCTCACTCTTCTCTGTTTTCTGTTCTCTGTTCTAGGTTTTTCCCAATCTACAATTATTAGCTAATTTCCAACTCCAAATCACATAATGTCTTAATAGATTTAGAAAAGTGAGAAATTAAAAACTAGTGATGTTAGTACCAACTTGTAGTCACAACTCTCCTCGCATGCATGTAATATGGAATGAAATGTTTCTATTGATAAGGTTAAACCTGCTTTGAACATCTGATCAACTACATCAAAAGCCATGTGAACCTACATTAAAATGATTACACGTGTAAGTTATCTAAAAGCAATCTGTAGAATGTCAACAGCAAAATGCACCACTTTCAACACCTTCAAAACATGAGGTAAAAAATACGTAGATGACCAATGTCAGGTACATTAATTTATATCTTCAGTTAATCACAACAATATTAGTAATCAATACTGATCATAAATGAAACAATTTTAGAAACTATAGAAATGTTCAAAGAATAACCCATAATGCCCAAATCACAATAATGCAACCATACCGCTGCGCCAAGTCCTGTCCTACTCTTAAATATGTTCAGAACAGCCCAATTTAAATTTGTTGGTTGAGAAAGTTGTCTAGATTTTTTTGCCTTACACTACAGGAAATACAGGTGACTTGTATACTTAAAAATGAAAGGAGCAAGATGCTTCTAGAGCAGAAGTGCTTCATAAAATTGAGGCCTCAAGAACATTACCAGCAGCATTCATGAGAGGTTCCTTACCGCTAAATTTGGCATGCTAATTGCATAATTATTGATGAAGTTTGAGGTATTTCCTGCCCCAATATCTGCACTTGATAAGATAACCAAATTACAGTAAGCATAAATAATAAGCTCAAGAGAAAATGAGCACTCGATCTTTGCATTCTAAATTACCATAATCTATAGCGGAAATAAAAAAGGCTAGACTTAAAATGATTACAGTAAATGTTCAAGAATAAAACTAAAAACATATTGACCAGAAACAAATAATGGTGAAAATACATAATTCCTTGATTCCATAAACTGATTTAAGTTATGTGCACCACATAATGGTTTCAACTTTCCACTTTTCCCCTGCAAATCCATTACAGTTACTTTCAAGAATTTACGAAATTAAGAAGGGCAACATTAGTAGTTAAACAAAACTGACGATGTAAGACCATATCCAGAAAAATATGGCTTAATTCTTTTCAATACGAGTTAAAAAAAAAAAATTGGATTAACCATTGGTAAGAGAGAGAGAGAGAGAGAGAACCTAAACGAGGTGTACAAGAATGAATTTCTAGTTTCAGTTATATACATCTATATATATAGTCCTATTTATCTCCATGACAGTGTCATGATTTTTTTTTTAAAAAAAAAATCATCTTGATGGTATTGTATTTGTGCTCCATATTTGTATTCTTGCATAATCTATTTTCCAAACCAAATAAAAACAAAGAAAAAATACAAACACAAGCAAGCAAGATAAATAATAGCACTATTATGATGCTACTAAGAGACAACGGGAAGGAGGAACCTGGTTCTAGATTTTATTCTGTAATTCCTTTTCAATCAATAAATCAATGACAAACCTGTTCCAGCCAAACCCAGCTTTGGCTCGTGACCTTCAATACAATATTGTGAAAAAATATAACAAAAGATCTCATTAAACAAGCTAAACAACAATAAAACAGATTTGCTAAATTACAAACCTTTAAAGTTGGGTTTGTCACAATCATCATTAGTTGCAATATAATCACAGAGCTCTGTTATTTTATCTTCATTATTAACTCTAATCCAAAGCATCATCTCATATTCAGCTAATCTTCATAGTGAATTCAAATTCTCCTCATAGATAACTTCACAAAAATATACGAATTCTTGTACCATCTCCATGTCGATTAAAAACATCAGAAATGGAGCATAGTTTCATCATTTAGTCACTAACTTACCATCAACAAAATACCTTGAGCACATTCATTTCACAAAACAACCATAGTACGGCAAAAAAACAGTGATATAGATTGGCAGCATGAGGCACAAAATCCATGTCAAAAGAATGTAACAGGAGATTCAGAACAATACTCAATGAAAATAATACAAAACTAACACAAAAAATTAAAGATATATAGAATGAAGTTTTGTGACAAACAAGGCTTATATATTTATATATATTGATTGACATTACACAAAGACACACACATATATAAATCAGTTCAACGTTAACACAACACACCTCACAAGCTACTTCTTTTCACATAAAATTAAAGATTTATAGAATGAGCATTTTCCTATTTCTTTTCACATAGAAGTAGAGCCCCTTGATAATTTTCTCTAACTTGGGTGTGGAATTGATTTTTTGGAGTACATATGCATATATGTATATGTATATACATAAAGAGGGGGTGGGTGGACAAAATAACAAAATTGATCTAGCTTACTAGGAATTTGAGTGTCATTAGGTCAGAATGTGATCCATGCCATTGTGGATTCTTTGTTTCTACATGCACAAGATTTAAAGATGAGCCATTAAAAGGATTGGAAGAGAAAAAAACTCAAAATACAGAGTGTTATTCATTTAACTTCAAAACATTTTAGTCCCTGCTATTTTGGTTGGGTACAAAAGTCCGATATGGCCATTTTCCCTTGTAATATGTTCAATTTAAATGCCATAGTGATTATTCAATTTTTTTGGATTTCAATCATGGAGAATAAAAAAAGACCAATAATCCTAAAAATGTTTAGGAAACTTACTGCGGAAACAGCAGGATTAGTACTAATAGAATCACATAAGACTGAAGAAAACACATAATCCATACTTCCTCACCACTAGTGTTGAATTCCACAACAGAGCAATCAAAACAAGCTAAAAGGATAAAAACAAACAGGCATGATAATAGACAAAATACTTTGAAAATCTCCGAAAACAACAGGCATGACCACAACACCAACTAAATGCATAAATGTAAAAAACAAAACCCAACAAATTAATTATATGGCCCTTTCAAATTTATTAGTACACTTCCATATTGCCTTTTCAATCTTCCTGAGTCAAAAACCCATTACTGCCCTAAATAATATTTTTTTGGTACTAATTTCAACAACACATTGCAATAGGTTTGTCAATACAATACATTAGGGCTTTCAATACATACAATCAGGGACCAAATATACATGCAAATACATATACAATCAATGGATTAGGACTTTCAAACTAATGAGAGGGAAAGGAAAAAATGGGGAAAATGTATGAAACCACTTAAATCAAACTTGTTTAAGCCATCAAACCTATAAAACATTACAAATCAAACCACTTCATCTCAGTTCATTTTGCGAAATCAACACAACATGAAATTGTAGACATCATAAAAGCCCTAGAGTAAGATTGAGAATGGGGAAAATAGAGAAACGGGGACAAGAGAGACAGACTGAGGTCGACAGACCCAGAGACAGAAAGAGAGAAAGACAGACCGAGAGTGAGTGAGACAGAGATAGACCAAGAGTTAGAGAGAACCTGGGTGGATTCAGTAGTGGTGGTCGTGATTTACGGCGGCGACGACGGTGGTGAGCGGCAGTGGTCTGCGCTGAGGTGAGGTTGGGTGAGGTTTGGTGCTGACAGAATCTATGTGTGAGAGAAAGCACCAGATGTGTAAAAATAAACAGGCGCCAACATTTATTCATTTCCCTCTAAAACTTCATTCAACCTTTGGCGACAAAACTATGAATTTGTCGGTAAATAGTGGCAAATGTTATTAACAGCGACCAAACCATTAGTCTCAAAACGTGCATATTGGCCAACTAAGTTCCTAGTAGCGAAAGACTAACAATAAATATGTCAGTTTTGGGCGACTAAATGGCCTTTTGTCGCCAATAATTACTAAACACCGACTAAAACAGAATTTAGTAGCCTAAAATGTAGACTTACGCCGACTAATATTTTTTTAGTCGCCAAAAAGTGGCATATTCTGCTACTAAATTTTTTTTTAGTCGCCAATAAGTAATATATGCCAACTAAAAATTTTTAGTAGCTATTGTTTCAACAAGTACCGAATAATACAATTTTTATTCGCCATAAGGTTAACTTTTGGGTACTAAATTACTTTTAGTCACCAAATTTGGTCGCCAAATGTGCATTTTCTTGTAGTGAATCCATGTGACACCTCGGCTGGCATTTCGGCGTCACTTTAGCCATGTGTTGTCATTCATGAAATACATCCCCACAATTGCCTCTAGGTTCTATTACCTTGGCAACTTAAGGTAATGGAACCTACATCGTTTGCGTATACAACATGTCAGCTAAAATTACATTTCTTATTTCCGACCGAGATCATGTCTCGTCGGCTTCATATAAAAAGAAAACTTAGCTGTCCACTTTCCAAGGATCAAGAACCAAGAATCCAGTTCCTTAAGCATCTGAACCGAGATCGCTTCTCTAGCCGAGGTTGCTGCTTCATTAATCAAGAAGTTTAAGAGCTCTAATTGTGCATGAGTTGTCACGCACAGTCTTTCCAACCATTTCATATACGCGTCCCCTTCCTTATTAGTTCGTGCCTGACACCCACTATCAGGTTGCGTCGCTTCTGTTCACGCTGTCTGACAAGCACGTCATCCAAGGTTAATTCATTACGTTTTGTCGCCTTTTCGTGTTTTTGACAAAACTCTTCCATTCTCTCTCCATCTAAAGCTTCTTAATCCGCCATTGTTGTTTCTTCGAGTTTTCTGTAATTGCTCCGTCCACCGCTTCTAGTGAAGCATTCATTGTTCTGCTCCAGCGTTTGTCACCGTCTGACTCCGGCGAGTACTGCTTCGGCCTCGTTTCCTCGGCCTTATTCGGTAAGTTCTCAATTTTTTCTTTTTAATTTCTATCTTTCACTATTCTCTTAATATGTTTTCTTCTTCACATCTGTCACATGTCTATGTTGTGTTTGCTTGCTGTGATTCTTGCACATTGTCTTGTACTATATCTAAAATCATATTTGCGTTGCTATTGAATTCTTTAATCTGTCATTAACTTTGATTATTCTGTTAATGTGTTTCTTGAGTGTCGTCTGCACTATTCTTGCTATTTCTGTGTTGCTTTCTCTATATCTTTGCTTCAGTTCTATTCTTGAACCTTGCTTACCTCTGATTTTGAATCATGTTCCTTTTTGTTTTCTTGCTTGTTTTTAGATTCATGTTCTTTGAATCTTGTTTTTGTAGTTCTAGGTTTAGGATTTGCTTGAAATTATATTCTTCGGAAATTCGTTTTGGCACCAAGGCTACCGTCGGTGCAACAGCCGATGAGATGGGCCGTAAACCAGCCGTAGTCGAAGATCTTCTCACCAACATTCCTGAGGTTGTGACTATACAGTCCTTCTCTTCTCTATCCCAGTCCAAACCAAAGGCAAAGAGAGTGAAGAAGGTTAAGGCCAAGGCAACAATGACTTAGATTGACTCTGAGGACACTGTGCTGATCTCCAAGCTAGCCGGGATCGAGAAAAGTTCAACCGCCACTGAAAAGAGGCCAGCTAAGGCTGCAACACCTGATGCCCCACCACTAAAGAAGCCGAGGTCTGATTGCCTAGAGGGAAGTAACAACTTTCCTAGCAATATGACCTGGGTGCCCGAAGTCATGGTGGGGGACAGACCTTTAACAGCCAGCGACAACGCGATCGAGAGCATCGAGGTCGGCGTCGTCTTGTCAACGGCCGTACTCCTACCAGAAGATATGAACCACATGGCCGATCTTCATGAGTATGAGAACTTTGGCTTAATGATGCAGCATTCAGTCTTGGTAAGTCTCCTGTTGTATCTTTTTAAGCTTTCCAATAATTTTTTACTAATCTGTTTCATTCCATGCAGGCTATCCAGCATGCTCATTCATATGCGGTCAAGACCGAGATGATGAGGAAAGAGTTGGTAAAAAAAACTCAAGAAGCTACCAAACTTCTCTTATCACTCAACCATGTCGAGACTAGTAACCAAAGTCTGTTGGTTCAAGCCAAGGCTACTCAAACTGAGGCTGAGACTAAAGCTGGAGTTGCTGATGCTGCTGCTGAGGCTACTAAGACCGAGGTAGAGGCTGCCAAGGCCAGGGTGATAGAGCTAGAGGCCAAGCTCAAGGAGGCCATTGACTTAAAAGAGGCCGAGGTCAAGGCGGCCGATGAAAAGGCTTTTGAAGAAGGCCAAGCCGTCATTTGTGACTAGTAAAAAGAGCAAGTCAATCTGGCTTGCAATTGAGGT